GAGCTCTCATTTTCCTCACAGGAAAGCATCCAAAAGAGTAAATCGATGAAAAAGAATGAATTTTCTGCTCGTTACCGCACTAGCTCTCCTGTTTGTAATGCAGATACTTACCACTATATCAACAATTGATGACCTGAATTATCCTGAGAAGACAGAGACATATTATATCGTCAATGCACCGTATATATTTTCGGCATGTTGGAAGGTTTTGACGCTTACCAATTCCACTTCTCTTGGCTAACTTTTACGAAAAGAAACCCACATGCTTATATGCAAGTATTGGCAGGCTGTAAAACCTCTCTTGCAAGAAAGGACGAAGAGGAAAATTCAGGTGCTTCAAGGTTCTGGAAAGGATGAGTTGCTAAAGGTAAGCATACCCTTCCATCCATATTTGTTCTTTCATACGCACTTTAATTCATGATAAAAATCTGCTCGCTGGTTTTTGAGTTAATCTTTAGTTTGCTGTAAAATATGTTTAGCTAATTAATCCATATGGATAATGCAAAGGATGAGGCTTTCTTCATTCGATTCTTGTGCGATTTTGTGGCTCAGGGCATAATTTGTTTTTTCTGCTCGGTCCAGCTTTGTTAGGATCATTTCCGACCTTCGACATATTCATTCCAACTGTGCAGATAATGGATTATTCATCCCTCCCACATTTTTGTAGAAAAGAAGGCTCTGGATCAGCACGTCGCGGCAGCAACGGAACCGCAGACAATTGTTTCTCATTGGATCACGCCTACGATCAACAGCTTTACAGTTACATAAAGCAACAATCTACACTTAAAGAGACGGGTTCGCGGGTCAAAGAGGGGTCAGTTCACCTAGAATTTCCCAAGCCAGATCCAGACGATACCAAAATCGCAGACAATTGAATCCAAGTTTCACAAGCTTAAAGACCATAATGGCCTGTGCAACTCCATAGATGGCCTTAAATTTGGTCATTAGATTTTAGATAACACCGGATATGTAACTGTCACGTTTGGACTCGTCTACCACAAAATGAGAGGCCTTGTATTCAATCATCGAATGTTATCGTATAGCTTTCTTGCATCGGCTCGATGCGATTTAATAGACCCTTGTTGTGGATGATAGCTCATGTCTTTTGGCTTTATGAGATTCTGCATGAAACAAGACAATCTCGCTTCTACTAAATGCAGCTTTCTTGAATAATTTTCTTAAGATAGATTGTTGATTAATGATAACATGCATTAATGAGAAATTTGCCGCTGACGATTTCAGCAAATGCCAAGCAAAATTCCTGAAGGAACATAGGGAAATCCAAAACATCGTTAATATGAACAACGCAAATATCATACGAAATTTCTAACTTAGCTGTTTATAGCAGCTATAAGCAACAGCAATTGATGCAGCGGCACAAACAACAACAAGAGCAGCATATGTATCTTCACGCTCCCAGCTCTCGGACCAAGTTGGCTTGGCACAAAACTTGCGAGAACCGGCACCTTTTCCACTATTGATCATCGAAACATGTTTCTTTACGCCTTTTTTTTTCAGGCATCAACTTCACGCCCCCCTCATCAGTGTCCACAATATCCGACTTTTGAGAGTCGTGGTAACAAGCACTGCCATTTCCTTGGCAACAGCTTACAAGCTCATCTTGAGATCGAAAGGCAATTGTGTTCATCTCATCTATTTGTCTTTCTGTTGCCTCTTTAGTGCTTCCTTCTACAGAAGTCTCACCATTTGCAAGGCGCCTTAGTTCTTGAAATTTCTTCTGTTTTTCTTCGGATAAACCCATCTGACCCCTGAAATAAGCGTTTAAATGCCTTGTCAATACATAGTGAGAGGGATAAATTCAGTTTACAATCAGAATATTTTTTGTTCGGTAAGAAATACAGCCAAGGTGAAGATTTTGGGCACTTCGGGTCCTGTTTTACATGTATATATCATGTTTCGAGTCAAATTAACCACTGCAACTTCTATTTCATGCTCTCCTCACCTTAAAGGCAAAAGTTTCTGCATATTACATTCTAAATATTCTTATATTATATTCTACGCATGGAACCGATGCTAAAAGAAGGATTAATAATAGCATATAAACAAGCTGACACAAAAAAGGTCACCTCCACAACGAGTCAGTTATCTCTCCTTTCCCAATATGCCACTCTAGCAGTGTAGGGACATCATCGGGAGTAACATACCCATACCTACAGAAAATACATGTGTATTTATAAAATGGCCCGGCTATCAATCCAGTAGAATATTTACATAAAGAAAAGGAACTAGGCTAGCTTAACAAAATAGGCAACAGGATAGAGATCGTTCCTACCAGTGTCCTGTGACTTCTCCATTGATATTTGATCCGAATATGATAACATTTCCTGCATACTTATGCCCTCCAATGTGCGAGCATGGGCTAACAGACACTCTACCTTTAAGACCATGCAAAACTATCTCTTCTTTGAATCTGCTAACCAGTGGAGGCCCACAAACTCCACAGCGGCGATCTCGGGATCCATGAGAACAAACAAAACAAATGAGCCCTGTAGTTTTTCAGGAGTTCCAGGTAGCCACACACCGTTCTTGACAAGCACTTCTTCAACAAATGTGTCAACATCGAAATGGGTCAACCTCCTGCATTATTAGCTAAAACAGTGATCAGTTGAAAATAAAGGAAATAAACAACTATAGAAACCTCAATGAAGATGCAATAGACCTGTATCTAATCATGTCTGGAAATATTAATACATCTCCATTTGATGTCTCAGTTCCATCATGCCCCTCGCATATCGTTAAGCGGGTCTGTAAGAAGACAAGCAGAAATAGATAAAGTAAGCATGCTGGAAAGGAAAAAATCGCAAATTTCGGTGATGCATGTTAACAAATTCTCACTACAATCATTTCAGAGTGAATCTTTATATCTGCTTGTGTAGATAAAGATTTACAGTGTAACCGACAGGGAGCACCTTTGTGGCCCAAACAATACAAAGGGAAAGTAATTCTAAAAACATCAGACTGCAGAGTGCCAAATCACTACCGTGTACGTACAAATTCGAAACAGGATTGTATCCTTTAGAGTAATGAAACCCATTACAGTTTGTATTGGCAAATTTAGAACCAAAAACAAGACAGATTGCAGACCTCCAAATCACTCCTAAACACAGCTAGTTAACAAACCATTGAAAGCCTCTATGAATCTAATAAAGTTGAAGCCAAACCTAAGTTAAAAAGGTGAAGTTTGATCTATAAACACAACAAAAGAAATCACATTTCCCTTCATAAGAATCTGTACAGAACATAACAATGTGACACCGAAATGTCAAAATTGCATCTGAAAAGGTAAAGCTCCAAAATCAGAAACAAATATATTCATGCAGGCAGACCAAAAGGATCCAATCAAAACCCAATATTTATTTAAAATGGGATCTAAATCATAAATTAACACCAGGTTTCTGCATTTCGAGATCACTCAAAAGATTAAACCAATTAAGAAAAAAAAAACAAAACCCACTTTGATTCACCTACAAATGTATAAAGTAAACAAATTTGAAGCTAAAAGGACTAACCAGGGCTTGAGATCTCTCGAATAACAAACCAATCCAAATAAAGAAAATAAAGAAAAAAGCACACCAACCTCTTTAATCATATCAGTCTTCCTAGCCCAAACAGCGGCAGACAACAACCTAGGCAGACGATCAAACTCAGCAGCCTCAATTCTTGGAGGCCAAACGGATGGGCTTTTGTAGCAAAGAAAGACATGGCGCTCATAGAACTGGACAGTGCCGGAGATTGGACTTTGTTGTCTAAAGTCAGGCCTCAAGAAACCAAACTCGACATCACTGTTACTAGGACTAGCAATTTCAGAAGCTAGAAGACCCTCGTTTGAGTAACTCCCGGCAGCACTTCCGATGTGAGAAGTTGGGTCTTGGAGATAACTGTCAAGGTGGTCCGAAACTGTGATTGGAGAAGATGAAGATGATGGGTTTGTTGGGAAAGTTACTGAGTCTTCTCTTTCCCTGCTACTTGACATCATTTCAAGGCACAAAGAGGTTAGAAAATAAGGGTTTTAGGGGACGGAAAAAGGAGTCTTGTTTCAAGAAAACGATTTTTTCCCCTGTTGGAGAAAGGGACGGTTGGCTTTTGAGTGAGATGAAAGGGTATTTTTTTTTAATTTCCAGAGTTTCCAGTGGCATGGGAAATACGTTTTTTTTAGGATTTGTTTTGAAAGATATTTCCAAATTTTTAATGAATTTACACTTATCCCCCTAATTATTTTTTTTTGTAATTTTCTTGTTTATGGTTTTGTCTTCATATTTCTGTACTAACTCTCAAATTTTAGGATATAATTTACCAAGTTTTTCACTTAGTCAATACTCGAGGGAACTTTCATTTTCTAGGGTGATTCATCTAAGTGGACTTGATTTTATTTCATTTGTCAAAATCAAGAGGAAAGAATCTTAAGTCCCCCTACTTTGCTATCCTTGTCATGCCATCAATTTTTATCACTATGGACTCACATGATGTCAATAATTGAGGTTGAACAATTGTATACGGTACTCTGATACTGTAAGATTTTCTCTCATCTAAAAAGACCCCCTTTATTATACTTATATATATATAAATGGATTAGATCCACCTTCTTCTTATTGCTCAATCAAAATAATGCAAATAAGTTTCAGGCTGATAATCAGGGTGTGAAGAAACATGTGCTGCATGTTTGTTCATGGTCATGGATGTATGCAGTGAATGATAGTGATGTTGATGCAATATTGGACTCTTAATTGGACATTTTTGAAGTATTTTGGCAAATTCTTATCCACCACTGGCCACCAGTAGCTTAATTTAAGGAAAATGTTTTATTTATTCCACTAAATGGAGGATGCCATTGTCTGGATGCATTCAACCAGTCTTGAAAAACAATCCATTTGAGAGGCCAAAAGCATTTAAAAGCTTAAATTTTGATTACTGCCAAAGGCTCATCAACATCATTGCCACTACTTTGCTCTACAAAGAATTTTTGGCACATAAAATGCATCAACCAAATACTAGCCATATACACAGATGCCATTTACTCCATGTTGTTTGCAAACTAATCCTTGGATATTTCCAATTTAAATTCCTGACGCCAGACAAAACTAACAGGGGTTTGATTCCACAGTTCTCAGATGTACACAACCAAATATATGTTTCTCTCAACCATTGATAAAATGTACAAAGATCAGGGAATGTTACAGTACATTTGCTTCTCACCAGGTAGTTAAGAGGGAGATCCACCCTCAATTTGGTTCTTTTTCCGATTGAAGATGCCGCTGATATTAGGTAAGAGGACCTTTTTTGAGATGGAAGACTTTTCCTTTTCTAACTTGCTAACCTGAACAATTTTCTCTGGTGGGTATGGCTTTCGAATTCTGTAGTGCTGCGGGGATGAATCTGTTGTCATCTGTGCTTCTGCTAGGATCCGGGATGCAGCTTCGGCTGCTTTCTTTTGTTCCCTTTCACGCCACCTTCGGAGCTCTCCCTCCACAACCCTCTTTGCAGCTTCAGCCATGTCAGCCCCCTTCAAAGCATCTGCAGTTGCAACCTTCATGTCTTCAATCTCTTTCTGAGTCACTTCTAACCTCTTAAGGGCCTCGTTTTCACTAGCCTTCACAGCTTCTACCTGCGCCATAGCAGCTGCAACTTTCTTTTCAGCTAAATTGCTCAACTCTTCAACTTTCCGGCTCAAAGACTCAAATTCTTCCCTGGAGATAGTTATATCGGCTCCAGACTCGGAGGTTGAGGCCCGTGCAACATTTGTTTTCTCAGAAAGAATCTTTATTTGATCAAGCGCCCTAGTCTCAGCTTCTTTCGCAGCTTCAGTGTCTTCCAGAGCAACTGCCAGCTGCTTCTCTGCTTCTGTGAGTGCAATTCTCGAGGTTTCAGCTTCCACCTTTAGCTTCTCAGCTTCCTTTTTCATCTCTTCCGCTTCTCGCCGTGCATGTTCTGTTTCCACTGATAGCTGTTGGAGGGTTGAAATCATTTCTTCACAGTTGCCTCTTGTTTTAGATTCCTCTGCCAGGAAAGTTTCAAGCTCAGCTTTACTTTTCCGAAGCTTAACATGCAGATTCCCAGCAATGGACTCTGTTTTTGCTTCCTTCTCCTTCAGCTCTGAATGCTCTTTCTTCACATTTTCTAGTTCCACCTTAAGAGACTCCACCAAACTCCTCAAGGACTTCTCTTCGTCAGCGACTTTTTGCAGTGATTCTTTAGCACCATCTAGCTCTGAGGTAACAGTTTGCACATAGTCCAGATCTGAAGCCTTTACATTTTCCATCTGCTTCTGCAAATCCCCAATCTGATTATCTGTTTCAACCAGTTGTGCTTCAAGATTTCGCATAAGCTCAGGGTCAAATTCATTCTTCAAAGCAAGCAACTTCTTTGTTGACTCCTCAAGGGTAGCTTTATATAATTGCCTCTGAGAATCCTTTTCGGTGAACATTTTGGCTTGTTTTTGCTGTGCTTCAAGAGATGCAAGCTTCACTTGTCCGATTGACTCCTGTACATAAGAAATTTCCCTGGACACCTCTCCAACCCTCTCCATGTTAATCTTAGCTGCATGTTCAGCTTCTTCTGTTTGTTTGAAGGCAGCAATTTTTGCTTCTAAGGATGCATCACGGTCCTGACGAAGCTTCCTCAATTCTTGTTTAGCCACATCAAGTTCGGTAATTACAGTCATGTATTGTTCCCTAGCAGTTTCCAAGTCCAGGCTCCTAGCTCTGTCAGGTCCGGGAAGAATATCAGAATTTGCCTCTTCAATCTGCTTTGTTTGATTCTTTGCAGCTTCTGTAGCCTTGATTGCATATTCTTTCGACTCGTTAACAGTTTTGAGTTTATGAGACAGTTCCTCAAGGGTCCTTTTAGCCCTTTCTAGCTCTACAAGTGCTTGAGCCTTGGTTGTCTCGGCATTTTCTATTTGATCCTTTAACTTTTTCAACTCTTTCCGAGTGAGATGAAGCTGAGTCTCCTTCGCTAGAACTCTCTGCAACTCGAAAACAAACAACAGCTGAAGAATAATAAACGAATCTTGGAAAGACAGCAAAACACTTCTTTACAAGGTCTAGTTGCCACGTAGGCTTCTCATATAAAGGTAGATTCTACTTTCATGATCCTCAGTGGTATGGTTCATAGACATTTTAACATTTACAGCCATTAATGATGAACGTGAACAAGGGAATAACAAAACAAAAGAAAGAAAACTTGAACGTGCCACAAATATCATATCCAAGTCTAGAAAACACATGTACTAATACGACTTGATACAAAATTTCAGGAGAAAGAAGAAAGAAATCTTTGGTGAGTCGATAGTACCTCCGCAGATTGAGCTTTTGCCTTTTTGAGGGAAGGTTTTTCCCCTGAGAGAGAGCCTTCTCCAAAAAGAGTAACAGCATCTTTAACAGATTGGAAAGGTGCACTGGTGTCTATCTCTCCCACCTCCACTTTCGGAGAGTTGGTAGCATTCGGACGTCCCTTCGCAACCATAATGTTTTGTGTGTTTATTGTTTGACGTCTGAAGTTCACAAGTTCGATAACGGGGAAAATCAGCATTAATTCGACAAATGAGACAAAATAAGATGTGCAATATAATCTCCAAAACCAACATGTCTCAGCAGAAAGAACGTGAATCATAATCTCAAAGAAACTTTAGACTCTTCAAGAGCCAATGATTCTTTTGCATTATTGCATATCTCGACATTTCAATCGATTGCTCAATCACAACATAGACTAGTAACTTCAGGCTGGCGAAAATCAGCATGAATTCGACAAATGAGTCAACTCAATAAGATGTGCAATATTATCTCCAAAACCAACATGTCTCAGCAGAAAGAATATGAATCATAATCTCAAAGAAACTTTACAGAGGACTCCTCCAGAGCCAAATGATTCTTTTGCATTATTACATATCTCGACATCTTAAATCGACTGCTCGATCATAACATAGACTCGTAGCTTCAGGCTGGCAAAAGTATACTAATCAAAGAGAGAGAACAAGGTTAACAAGAGGAACCTTTTCTTACACATCTGTCCTAGATTACCCAAAGCTTCAACACCATCAAAGAAAATAGATTCCAGTACAAAAAACAGTCAAAATCGCCAAGAAATATTTCAAAATCATGAAGCTGAACATACCTTAAATATCCTTCTAAAATCTTCAACCAAAATTGACTATCTAATCACCTTCTCTAAGAACAGGAACCTTTAACTTTGCCCCAGAAATTCAAGCAGCACAACCCTAGCTCAACAACAGAGAAAGAAAGAATTATATTTAAGAAAATTTTCTGGAATTCAAGAACATGACAAAGTTATTATCTCAAGTCAAGCATAGAAGTGAAATGAACTGTAAAAGATTATTTTTAAAAAAATCTGTAAAAAAAAAAAGTAAAAACCTTAGCTACTAAAGCTAAAACCAAATAGTAGTCAAATGAAAAAAATGGAAGGATCACCTTGTCTAAAACTAAAATCCCTTCACAACTTGATGGACATCTTCTTTGATCTCATACTATTCCTTTTTTCTACAAAAACTCTTTTAATCTTTCAACATAAAGACCAAAACCCACCAAAAAAAAGACCCAAACTTTGGACAGGAATCTACCAAGAAAATTTGATAAAAAATTCTCTCCAAGAACCAAATAGGCTTCTGAGGAGGAGGAGAAGAAAAAAAATTTAAAAAACTTTCATGGGGTTTTAGTCAAACTTGGGCTTAGCTATCTTCTCTTTCAGTGTTTTTGAAGGATTCAAATTGTAAATATTGCAACTTTAGAGAGAGAGAAATAGAGTTTGAATATTCGAAAGCAGTTTGAAACAAAATTTTATATAAGCAAGGACAGTGAGGAGGAAGAGGGAGAAAGCTAGAAAGACTGTTTCGTTAGACGGAGAAAAATGGTACTTGTTGGACACTAATGTAGAATGTCTCAAAATGTAAGGGTATTTGTGTCTCAAAATGTAAAGGTTTTAAAAGTCTCGAGTGATGGGCGGAGCAGTGACAAAATGACAGTGACTGAAAGAGAAAATGCTAAAGAGTTTGGTTATGGATCCAATTGCTTTGCTTTTCAGCTGCTCCCATCTCATTCATCTCATCAGTCATGTAATTTGTCTCACTTTCTCTTTGTTTTCATAGCATCCTCCTTCTCCTCTCCTGGAAAATTTGTTCAAATAACATTAAAAAAATTGATTTTATCATATAAGATGTTAAAGAGATTATTTGACCCGATAATTTCTAAAAGACTTAACGTTAAAATACAATTTCAGGGGACATATATGGAGCTTAGAGAAGATTTATCTTTTGAGCATCTTCTAAAAGTCGTTGGGTCTTTTAGAAGTCTTTCATGGAACACTGTGACATTTATCACGTATGAAAAAAAATAATGTTTCTAACTTCTTATGTGAGTAAATCATTTTTCCAAAGCATTATGTTACTAATTTTCCCTTTTCTCCTACATAAGCAAATTTCCATTTTTTTTGGGGTTTTGTAAATAGTTTTCACCTTACTCATAAGGTTGTAAACACATTTACTTTTGTTTTTCTTTTGGTTGGTTTAAGTTTTGATTTCTATGTTGAACCAAAAAAAGAAGTTTGGACTGAGATGAAGGGCTACATCAAGGTCATTCATTGATGAATGTAACTTCAATATCTACAGCTCTGTCTCTCAAAACCCAACTCAGAAGCATTTTTTTGTCAAATAGCAACACAAATATGGTCTCCTCACCTCTGTTTCAGGTGGTTGTGGAACAGCATTAATAGTCTTAAATGTCCTCAACCTCAAATGACTCATTAAAAATCACCAATATCTTTTAGTACTACAAATAGTTGCTTTGTGTGACCTGTAAATGGACCCAAGCTTGAGGATGATTGGATTGGATTGGATGGCATTGGCATGCATGATGTAATGTTTGATTTCCATGTCTGATGAATCTGTAAGTGGAATGCTACTTTCCATACCTCATGTACTTTTCCCTTTCCAATCTCGTCATCTCTTCTCCATCTACAAGAACAAAAGGCACGCCCGACCTGCATTGAGCATATTCTGCAGCACCAAAATCAACAAATTCCGGTGTGCCTCTTGGTTCTCACCGGCGCTGGTTCTCGACATGCTTCGAGTGCCTCTGTTATCCGAGACTGAAGGTTGTCTGTAACACAAACTAGTTTCAGATAACAGCCTATTGACCTTTGAAGAACCTACTAGACCATGGCCTAATGAATCTGAATAAATAAGGAGCATGGATATGTCGGACTGAAGAACCTAATAGACCATAGCCTGCATAGCAATTCCATAAAGAACATTACCTGACACACTATAGACGTAGCTGTTCGAACTCGACTCCCCTAAAAAGAATATTTTTTTTTTACTATTGAGGTCACTCAATGCATTCGCGAAATAAAGACTTAATTGGATTGACATCAATAGTGATAGGGGTTAATGGGTACAATCTTGACTTAATTGACAGTATAATTACGGTAACCGAAGGCAGAATGGAAAAAGCAGTTCCCCAAATTGCAACTTACAAAAAATTCCATTCTTATAACAAAGTCTAAACCTTTGAGATGAACAGGAAGACAGGTGCAGAAGCTTAGGGTTAGTTCTTAAGGGGCAATGAGTTCAATTATACCAAACGCCCTTAGTTTAAGCTAAGCATTGAAGTATTTTACAATATCCCTCTTCCTGCCCTTCATTTTGATTCATTACCAGTTTTCTTACAGGAAACTGAGAACTACAGAGTTTCCCAAGTCAAGCGCCTGTTCATATACCCAAATATATATATTTTTTAAAATAGCATGTTTGCATGAATGAAGTTACTTCTTCGTTCAGTGATTAAATGAGTGATTGTTATTTTTAGAGTTCAAGAGTTCGAGCATTAGTGATGACAGGGTATCTAAGGGTTCATTGTCAAACAGTTGAGTCTATAAAATTAATAATAAAAAAATACTTATATTTTTTTCTAATGGCAAGGTCAGGGGTTTGAATATTGGCGATTACGAATAGAACAAATTGGGCTAGGAGGATCACCCTCGTCTTCGCAGTACCTGATCCGAATTAATCGACTAATAGATTGGAAACAAGTGGTTATACAAAAAAAAAAGAATGATAATTTAATGTTCTTAATTTTTTTGTCTAATAACAATTTAGATCATTATAAATTTAATTATTAGACATTGTTTTCTGAATTGTAAGTTTAAATACCTAGTAAGTCATTGTATTTTTCTTAAAAATTTTAATATTTCGGCCCCTGTCTGTCTATATCTAATATTGGTGTCGCCCCTGTACAAACCAATTTATTTTAGTAGTTAAAAGAATTATTATCGTTCTTAGAAGTCACGGGTTCGAACACTAACGGTTGTAGCATGATGATTGAGCGTTTATTGTCAAATGGTCAAGGTGATTAAGCGCTTAATAAAAAAAGGGACATTGTTATTCCTTGAGAGTCTCTAGAACATATATTACTACTTGTAATCATCTTAGATTAATAAAAATTATAATATTTATAAGGATAATGTTTATAATTGTAAATTAAAATATAAACATAATTTATTTATATATTAAGTAAATAAATTTATTATAAATTTTCAATAAAATTTATACAAAAATATAAATTAATACATTCAAAGATCATGTAAAAATTTCAACGTGTATATATATATATATATATATATATATATATATGTACGTTTTACTTATTTTGATCATTGATCACAGATATGAGGGCAAGTTACCGGGGGTGGACATATTCGTATGCACGGCGGATCCTACGGCGGAGTCGCCGACTTTGGTGATTAACACCGTATTATCTGCGATGTCATTGAATTATCCCACCGAGTAACTAAGTGTCTATCTTTCCTGTGACGGTGGATCACAACTCGCCTTTTATGCCCTCTTGGAGGCCTGTCGTTTTGCTAGGCTTTGGATCCAGTTTTGCAAAAATTCAACGATGAACCAAGGTCCCCTGAGGCTTACTTTATCCACAGCTCTGGTGCGCCTGAAGAAACTGCAAATACTCAACAATGGCTGTTCATCAAGGTAAATACTACTGAATATATAGTTTTAGTAGCATGTAGAAAAAGAAAGTAAAAATGCAGTTAAGATCCCTGTACTATAGTACAATTTTTTATTTTGATCCATATATTTTTAAAATGGGAAAAAATATAAAAGAAAGACCATAATACAGGGACCTATACAGTACTTTTTACCAAGAGAAACATGATAGATCCCCACCATTTGGTTTGATTAAATGATCATCAACTGTCGCTGCTTTCTTTAATTTCGAAGGAACGATATGGAGATATGGTGAAACGAATTGAAGCAGTGGTTAACAAAGGTAGTGTTCCAGAAGAAGTAAAGAATCAACACAAAGGATTTTCCGAGTGGGATTGTAATGTAATCAAGCAAAATCATCAGCCCATTTTTGCAGGTGGAACACTGCATTTTTTTCACCCTGCAGAGATTTTATATGTTTGATGATTTGAGAGATTTTCTTCTTGTTTTTCAGATTGTGATCGATGGAAGATACGCAAACGAAGTGGATAGCGATGGATGTCGATTGCCGAAACTGGTTTACATGGCTTAAGAGAAGAGACCCGGTTGCCCTCATCACTTCAAAGTTCAAAGCAGGAGCCATGAATGCACTGGTAATTCGCCCTTTCCTTTGATAAAAGAATAAAGGACTCAATTTGTACTGAAATAACCGGTTCCGGATGTATGCTATGCTTAAGCTGAGCAAGTGTCCAACCTCAAATCCAAATTTTCTTTCTTGAAATCTATTTTCTTCCGTCAGTTATTTATTTTATTGATTGTATCGACTCTGAATTTTATTTGTATCTGTACAAAAATTGTGTTGTTAATATATGCATATCAACAAAAATTGTTGTTAATAACAATGGAATGATGCAGATAAGGGTGTCATCAGAGATCAGCGATGGAGCAATCATTCTAAATTTGGACTGCGACATGTACGCAAACAACGCAGACTCTATAAAAGAGGCTCTTTTCTTCTTCATGGATGAAGAAAGGGGCCATCATATTGCTTTTGTGCAGCATCCACAGTGTTTCAATAACATCATCAAGAATGATCTTTATGGAAATAGCATCCCAGTAGTTAACAAGGTTGGTGTTGCACTACAGATATTAGAACATGTTTGGACTATGTTGTTGACTGATTGCTTTTATTTGATGATTCCGAAGGTCGAACTTGCAGGAGTGGGCAGTTACGACACCGCATTATATTGTGGCACCGGCTGCTTTCACCGGCGAACGAGTCTTTGCGGAAGCAAGTATTCCTAGGAATATGAAGGATCATCGAATTGGGAAACGAGGAAGGATGATGACAGGACAGTTCATGAATTGGAGGAAGCATCAAAAGTTCTTGCTAGTTGTGGATATGAGAAGGGAACTCAATGGGGAAACGAGGTATAGATATACTGTTAGGTAGGTATCTATAAACTAAATACGTAATCAAAGCTACACTAATATGAACATCGTGAAACCGATGATTCGATTCGAATGCATCGTTGTTTGTCCATGCAGATGGGGTTGATATACGGGTGTCCAACTGAAGATATGTTGACAGGGTTGAGAATACATTGCAGGGGATGGAAATAAGTTTATTACAATCCGTACAACACTGCTTTCCTAGGAGTTGCTCCACCTACCTTGGACATAGCTCTTGTTCAGTGGACAAGGTGGTCGGATGGAATGTTCCAGATCTTCTTCTCCAAATACTGTCCTTTCATCTACGGACACAACAAGATCAAATTGGGTGCTCAAATAGGGCACTGTGTTTATCTGTTGTGGGCTCCAACTTCCCTACCGCACCTCTATTATACCATTGCTCTTCCTTTTTCTTTGGTCCAAGGCATTCCTTTATTCCCAGAGGTATGTATATACGCAATTATTCATATCAGAGCTTAATTTCATGAGGTCAAATTATAGTTTTAGTCCTCTATTATGTTTTTAGTTTAAATACTTCTTACATCATGTGTATTATTTTTGGTCACAGGTCTCAAGAAGATGGTTTATACCCTTTGCACATGTATTAATATCCAAGAACCTTTACAACATAGCGGAGGCTCTACTCCATGGAAGCACATTCAAAGCTTGGTGGAATTCGCAGAGAATGTGGATGATTCGAGGAACGACTTCCTTCTTCTTCGGCTTCATCGATTGCATAGTGAGACAACTCGGATTGTCTCAGACAACGTTTAGGATCACGGCCAAGGTTGTCACCGATGATGCCTTGACGAGGTACCAGCAAGAGATGATGGATTTCCGGGGCACATCCATCATGTTTGCAGTTATATCAACATTGGCAATGGTGAACGTGTTGGGTTTAGTGGGTGGTGCAGCTAAGGTGTTTTGTGGGGTTGGGATATGGGGAAGTTGATGTCTTAGGCTTAGTTTGTTTTCACTGTGTAAGTTCTTCAAATTACTTATGTTTGCGCCGCGTAGACCACGCGCAGACATTAGGCTTCGCAGACTGTTTGTTTTTTAGAAGACATAAGCTCTTCAAAAGTCTGCGCGAGCTCTTCTTGGTGCAGACATGGTTTTATGTCTTCAAATATCTTCAAACCTCTTCAAGAACAATTATAAATATAGTTATTTATTAAATAATTTAAAATAATTTAATAAGGTTATTATTTTAAAATAATTTATTATAAAATATGAATTGATTTATTTTTAAATAATTTATTTTAAATAATTTATTAGTATGGATTGATTTATTTTAAAATATGGATGATTTATTATTGTAGTTGTATGGATTGATTTATTTAAATAATTTATTAGTATGGATTGATTTATTTTAAAATATGGATTGATTTATTTAAATAATTTATTAGTATGGATTGATTTATTTTAAAATATGGATTGATTTATTTTAAATAATTTATTAGTATAGATTGATTTATTTTAAATAATTTATTTGTATGGACTGATTTATTTTAAAATATTGATTTATTTATTTTAAAATATGGATTGATTATTTTAAATAATTTATTAGTATGGATTGATTGATTTTAAAATATGGATTGATTTATTTAAATAATTTATTAGTATGGATTGATTTATTTTAAAATATATATTGATTTATTATTATAGTTGTATGGATTGATTTATTTTAAATAATTTATTAGAATAGATTGATTTATTTTAAAATATGGATTGATTTATTTTAAATAATTTATTAGTATGGATTGATTTATTTTAAATAATTTATTTGTATGAATTAATTTATTTTAAAATATTGATTGATTTATTATTGTAGTTGTATGGATTGATTTATTTTAAATAATTTATTAGTATAGATTGATTTATTTTAAAATATGGATTGATTTATTTTAAATAATTCATTATTATAGTTGTATGGATTATTTAAATTTCAGTATTGTAAAACTAAAATTATTTAAATCTCAGTATTGCGAAACTCTTTTATGTTTAAAAAATCAGTTTATTTATATTTCAGTTCATTTTAGCAGTCTGCAGACGTTAAAAAACAAACAGTCTTCTTCTTGCAGACTGCAGACTTTTGGTCCACCTCTTCTGCTGCAGATGTGATCTGCAAACTACAAACCTTTTACATCTGCAAAAACAAACACCACCGTTGCACTTTTTCTAAATATCTTTCAATTGTCTACTTGTATAAAGACACGTTAAGTATAGATATTTATTAAGTATCTATATTATTAAAAATTATAAAATAATTATTTGAATATTTATATATTTTAAATGCGTTGTTTTAGTTAAAAATTCATTGTATTGTTTTGTGGATCGAGTCTTCGTCTATATTATACTATCGAGTCATTGTTTAAAATATTATATTATTGAGTCAATACTCTAAAATAATAACTGTATTTGTAGATATCACTGAAATATAACTTTATTAAATAGCGGTCAATTTTTTTAACAGAAAAAATAAGTTTAGAATATAAATAGTAAAATGATTATTTTATAATTTATAATAATTAGAGGACTAAAAACACTATAATAGAAAGATAATTTGTGTACTTTCCCCAAAATGAGACACAGGTGATTATAACCACGTTGAAGACGAAACCGTGTTGGACTTTAAAACCGTCATCTCCTCTCTGCTACTGCTCGTCTTCAAAAAGCTTCAAAATAATCTTTCACATATTTTGTACTCTCCCAGAAAAACTGAAGAGAAAAAGAAAATTAAAGGTAACTTAAATTTATTTTCAGTTAAAATTCATAGCATTTTTCTTCTTCTTTTTATTCATAGCTTTGAATTGTTTTCATATTTTTTCCTGCATTTTCCCCTGCACTAAATAGCATCGACTTGGTTTTAATCTTTATCAGAAACTTGAAGGGGGAAAATGAGAGAACTGGTGGGAATTTATCTGGGTTTTTGATTCAAACTTGGTTTTTGGTGAAAGGTTTAAGAAAACATTTCTAGTTGGTGGTGTTTTTAAATTATCATCATGTTAGGTTTTGTGAAGTATTAGTCTTTTAGTATTTGGTTTTGTATAATTTGATATATTCATTTTTTTGTCAGTTCCGTAACTAGGATTCATTGACCTTTTAATTTGCAGATGAAAGTTGGATCTCGTGAATTTGTGGCTGTTATATTGCTTGCATTCTTTTGTAACCCGGATCCCGTGTTTGGAATTAGATTCGTAATCGACAGAGAAGAATGCTTCTCTCACGATGTTAAGTACGATGGGGATACAATTCATGTGTCGTTCGTCGTCATCAAGTCCGATTCGTCTTGGCATAACAGTCATGAGGGTGTTGATCTTGTGGTAAGCTTCCTTGTCTCCTTCATACTTATTGCTAGCATTTGCTCAGTTATTGCACCGGTGAGATTTCCTACTTAGGGCATTGTTAAGATTGTGAACCGCAAGTTGATAGTTTTTGAGAATTGGTTATCTTATTAATCTAAATTGGATCTGACTGCTGTATGAACTCAGTGTCTAAAGAGTCTTATCGAACTCGCTACCTTTTGCAATTGTTAGGTGAAAGGACCTTCCGGTGATCAGATTCAAGATTATCGGGACAAGATAAGCGAGAAATTCAAGTTTGTTGCTCGTAAAAAAGGAGTCCACCGTTTCTGCTTCAGCAATAAATCTCCTTATTACGAAACGGTCGACTTCGATGTACATGAAAGTCATTTTTCGTACTATGATCAGCATGCAAAGGATGGCAAGTCGTATCTTATTTGCTTTTATGTTTCTCTTCCCCTACGTGAAAACTTTAATAGGTTTTCTAACTGTTGTTCTCATATGCTTATCCGCAGAGCATTTCGACCCTTTGTTAGAACAAATATCTAAGTTAGAGGAAGCCCTTTATAACATCCAGTTCGAACAGCACTGGTTAGATGCTCAGACAGAACGTCAGAAAATTGGTATATTGACGTTAACATTTCACTTTTAATTACAGACAATTGTGTATGATGTTCTTTCATTGATGCCTTTGGAACTTGCATGTCTGCTAGTGAACCTTCAGGCTCATAGATCTCGAAGCAGTTTGACACAATTGTGAATTACGTTGCTACACTACTTTTATTAGATCGTTAAGAATTGTATCTATGCTTACACTCTCTCATGAATCCTTTCTAGTTAATTTATTTTATTCTCTGATGATTTGGCTTGCTGTAAATGCAGTAAATGATGGAATGAGTAGAAGAGCAGTTCACAAGGCCTTATGCGAATCTGCAGCACTAGTTGGAGCTAGTGTTCTGCAAGTTTACCTACTCCGACGCCTTTTTGAACGAAAGCTTGGAATGTCCCGGGTTTAGTTCTAGCACTGAACTGCAATGTTTTATTAGTTATAGGATACTGCAGATTGTTGTCACCTCAGGCACTTGATATATACATTGATTCATGAAATCGCTGACATTTTCTGTTACCGTTGAAATTTAGATTTAACATGATTAACATAGACTACAAAGTATGATTGGTTCAAGTTATTTCTACTGAACTTTTATCATGGTACCATGGGTGAACGATGTTCAGCCATCGAAATACAGCCATAACCCGGAAACATGTTTTGCATGTTATAAACTGCCATTGAAATACATTTCCAATAAAAAGATGAAAATGAGAAGAGAACAAAGACAAGTTTTCGAAGACGCAACGATCAGGAGTAACATGATTACATGAAGTTATGTATCACAGCAAAAGCTCCATAGCTTCGTAAATCATAGCAAAAAGGCGAAGACAGAATAAAATAACACAGTTTGTCATAACAACCCACCAAATATATATACATAGATACGGTAAGTGTTTTGTTTTGTTTACTTCTTCCCCCAGAATTATATCAAACACCACAAAAATGGAAATCTAGAAGGTCAAGCCCTATAGATTCTATCTTGTTCAGGAATATATGGTGGGGCTTTAACACACTTGTGGAAGTAGTCTTATACGAATAGGGTTTCGTCAAGATTCTGCAGCTGGGGCTTGAACGCAGCAAAACCATTTTTTCTGAAAAAATAGCACCATATACGGAGGGAAATGTCAACTAGCAACAGTTTATAGCAATCACTTCAAATGGAACATTCAAGTAAACGGTTATTAGATGTCAAAAACAAGTCGTTAGATATTTACTTACAGGCTGGGTTTTGCCAGGTTCTGCTCCAGGCTTAGCATGAGGATCAGCCTTTGCTGGTGACTCAGGTTTGCCACCTGTTTTCTTCTCGTCCCTTGCCTTATTAAATATCACAGTAAATCCCTCGGCTGAGGCAGGATCGTTGACATCCCATTCACCAAATTTTGGCAATGGCTGACCCTTTTCCTATTGGCCAAAGTGAGATGCCCCATTAAGACCCTTATAAACAAGGGTAAGCAGATAGACAAAACATGAAGGTAACCTGGTAAAATTAAAGCATGTCCAAGTTTCACCGTTTAGCTAATAGCTAAAACATATCAATTACCCACAATAACAAACTAGTCACAATTGCTAGTCATAAGAGTTTTTCGACAAGCATATAGATACTTCAAAGCTCAAAATTGAAAAAATAAAAATAAAAACTGTCCACGCTCAATATGCAAGGAAATGTCGTACGGAAAATAACTCAATATTCATGGTTCTTAAACTCTAAAGAAGGGTAAAAGCAAAAAGAGGATATGATAATCCACTCTTAATTGTTTCCCAAGCTGCAAAGGTACTTATTAGTGTAAGGCATAAGATATTTTACATTTTCACTGTCATTATAGACAATATTTAAGAGATTGAAAAATTAGCAGTAAATCTTTTCTATTTTGAACTAGCAACCATCTAAATAGCTAACTGTGATTAGAATGCAACACATCCAATTGAAGATAAGATCACAGATACAATCTAAACAGCCAATGACAGTGAAACAGCTAAATGGAAGCTGCTAGTTGCTATAAGGGTATTACACAACTTCGGCTTGAACTTGGTAAATTCCATTTATCTAACAACCGCAAAATTAATCGGCATGCTTTGCAATATTAAGGGTAAACTTGGGTGTTCTATCCTGCAGGCTTGACATCACATAGCATTGTTTATGAGTGCTGTATTTTTGGTATGGAACTCATTTAGTACATGTTTAATTTTCAAACAAAACAAAGAAATGTGACTTCAGCAGAGCTTAGATCACATCGTCTGATTCTGTGGACAAAAAGGCACGTTGAAGCTTGCATTATTAAAAACCTAAATAAGCAGTGTAGTTTAAATTAACCGAACAGTAAGACTGGTTATTGCTCCAGAGAAAGCACTTTAAAAACGCTGGTTTAAGAACATAAACTCATCGAAATCATTATTTTAATAAGATGCACAACAAGAAAACATAAATGGTTCGTGAAATAACTATTCTAAACTACGGTATAATCACTGCATAACATTTTATTCAAGGGATAAGCAAGGTGGGTCGAACAATGAAAGAAAACATACCAAAATATCAACAGTATCAATTACACAGTTCAAATGGAAGCCTCCAAAAAGAGCAATAATTGAGAATAAATCACAAAGACCAGTCATGGAGATGAAAAATGACCACATAAATCATATGCATTATTGATATAAAAGTAAAACCACAACCAGATAAATGGAATAATCACATTCTTGAAAAGATACAGTGAAAAGCTTAACTTATCCAGCAACAAGACAAAAAGGAATCTGCAAAAAGTTGAGCATGAAGTTACATAAAGTATCAAAATAATAGCAAGTCAGGCAAATCCAAGCATAATTTAGTACTACCCTTCAAATATATGTTGCCATAAATCCCATAAAGAACTCCAATTACTTAATGCTGGTTAATTTAATTGAAAAGATTGACACAAAAGATTCATCTACCTTAGATTAGAATATTAACGAATTTATGGATTATGACATTTACAATGAAGCTGCCATTTGCAGATTAGATATCCAATAAAACATAAGTAACAATACATGTCCTCTAAACAAAAAATATAAATCATTTCATTGCATATGTAAGTAGCTCAAATGGTATACAATTCATCAGTTAAACAAAACAAAAAATAAAAAATCCAAAAAAAAAAAACTGCAATACACATCAAAGAAAGCAGTTCCGAAAAGACGAAAAGGGTAAATTTAAAGCTCTGATCATCAGCAACAAAATGTTTTTTCTTACTTAAAACTCAGAATCGAAAACCCAACAAGTATATGAACCGAAACAACCCAAAGCTAAAATAACAACATAAAAAACAGAAAAATTAAATCACACAACAAAATTAAACCTTTCTATTAATGAATTTAAACAGAAACGAAAAGACAACAAAAGTCGGAAAAATCACATACCGACATGAATTCTTGAGATAAACTTTTCTAGTGAAGAAAGAGAGGAATATATAGAGCGATTTAGAGAGAGAATGAGAGTTTTTAGAGAGAGAAAGGAGATTTTTTTTTTGAGAGGAAAATGTGAAGGAAAGAGATGAAAAGGAGAGAAAAGCTTGGAATCAGGATAACGGCGTTAGTTTGGACGGTCAATTGAAAAAGGAAGGGGGAACCGAGCCGTTAGGCTCTTTACGATGACGTGGAGGCGGGCACGGATGAGCTGGCACAAACATTTTTTTTCTATTAAAAATTATAAAATGGTCCTCCGACTATAAAATGTTACTTTATTAACCCTCTCGGCTATTAAAAATTATAAAATAGTTACATAACTATTCATTATGTTCCAAAGTCGTCCTTTTCCATTAAATATTTGGCGGTTGCTTAAGCTGAACATTAGCATGATGAATGAGATATGATAGTCGTTTGAGATTTTGGGATCAGATTTTATCATATCACAGTCATCAAGTTAACGTTCAACTCAAAATATCGTTAAATTTTTTATTGAAAAATGATGGGTTTAGAATATAATGAATAGTTGGGTGAAAATTTTGTAACTTTTAAGAGTCAAGTGACTCAACAAAGTAACACTCTATAATCGGATGATCATTTTATAACTTTTAATAGTCAATAGGCTTAATAAAGCAAAACATATTACTAGACTTTGTATTTGACTTATTTTCTTTTGCCTATTACAAATTGAATGGATCGTGATGAAAGAATAACATTTCTAGAGGAGTCTCAATGAGATATCAGAGTTCAATATTGATGACTTAAGCGATATCAAGAGGTTATGATTTTATTTGAATCATGTCGTAACTATTCTATTTATGCATTAAGTTTTTAAATAAAAAATTATGTTTTATTTTTTTATTTTCTTATTATTGTATAAAATGTTTTAAATTTTTTGATTAAGTCATAACTTTTAGAGTTGGAAAGTATAAAATTACTTTGATGATCGAATGCAACACTCGTAAACTCGATCAAATGTGACACCCTTCGATGATCGAATGCGACATTCGTGAACTCAATCGAATGAGACACCCTAAGTCGAAAAGACTGACTCGACACTTCTATTTTGACGTCGACAAGTTAATATTTGTTGGTATTTTAAATAATTTTTAAAACTTTTTTTTCTTTCTTTCTTTCCAATAAATCAATTTCACAAAAAAAAAATATTTTAAAAAAATCAAGTATTTAAACTATATAAAAAATAATTCATATACCTAAAGTTAATAATCGACATTCTTCAAAAGTTTCTTTTAATAAGAGACACAGCTCCCTTAGGGGCAAAATCATGTTAAAATTTATATATTTAATATAATTTTGATTTAATAGTATTTTGATTTATATAAAAATAAATATTTAAATTTAAAAAATATATTAAATATTTAATTAAGTTGGGGTCGAACTAAAGCGTGATAAGTATGTGTTCTCAAATTTTTGATCTAATTACAATTTAAGTCATTGCAAGTTTAAATATTAGACAAATTATAATTAGTCTTTTAAGTTTTTATTTTTTTTAATTTAGGGTGAATATAATGTAATATATGTACAAAGATTTTCAATTATTTGACCATGAACGTTCATACCCATATATACGTGTTTGAACTCGGGACCTCAAGGATAACAACAATCCCTTAATTGCTAAGGTCGCTTGGTCCATGCTGAATTTCGAGTTTAAATACCTAATAAGTCTTTATATTTTTCTTAAATAATCTAATATTTCGCCCCTGTCAATATTTAATTCTAGCTCTGTCCTTACTTTTTAATGATGGTTTAAAAATATAAATATATAATTCTTGTGGGACAGATCTTATAGGAGAAAGACTGAAGGAAAACAACACATACAAAGTAAACGAAATTAAAAGAAATGAAAGATTCCTCAAAACATTTATAATTGACCCACACCCATTGACCCATGCATCTTCTTAGAATGTTTAATGTAACAGATGAAGCTTCATCAGTGTTTCCCGCAGGTTTCTTACGCATAAACAACATTTTTACAGCTTTTTTTAGTCATTTTATTTTTAAAATTTTTGAAAGTAAGTTTCTGTTTCAAAGCTTCTAGTTCTAAACATTTCCTTCCTGGAAACTATAGGGCAGATTCCCCTTGATTTGTGTAAACTTGGTGTCGGAACCGTCTTTCGATTGGGCCCGGAAATTGGGCTTCGACTTGAATGAATTGGGTTAGAGTCGCCACCGACCATTTTAAAATGAATTTAGGTGGGTCGGACACCATCTTACCTGATCTGCGTTGTACCAGAAATGTGTCGGGTTCGGGAGTCGGTTACGGTCAAGGAAGGATTAGCACCCTTGAACCGCCCTTTCGGTACCAATTAATTTATCGGTTGTCTTTAATTGCAAAAATTAAAATTTGAATTGAAATTTAAAACATTCGATTCGAATTACTTACCTTTGATGGATTAAAATATCCCTAAAAAGTAAAAAATATTAGATAAAGAAAAATAAATATTAAATAAATGAAAGGAAGGAAAAATAATAATAAGAAAATAAAGAAAGTAAAAAACATTAAATAAATCAAAAGGAAAAAAATAAAATGAAATAAAATGAAATAAAAAAGTAATAAACTAAATGAAATAAATATAAGAAAAGGAACCATAGATGAATGACCATATGTTGAATTTACCCAAAGTTCAAAACATGGGTGGTTTATTTTGTTTTCACGCCAGCAGCCAAAGAGAATCAAATGAACAATTCCATTTCTCTCCAATACGCAACGCTCCCTCAACTTCAGTGAAATTCCTCTACTTTAATGGAGCCTTCAATGTATTCTCAATTTTCCACGCAAATTCATAGCAAAATGCGCTCATTTCCTCCAGAACGGGAAGCAGCAGCCCTCTGCACGGTCGTTAGTTGGTTTCCGATTTCGAGCAGTGTGGTATGGAGATCGCTCATCTGGTGTAACCTTGCCTCCGTTGTTTCGCTCATCTCGGACCTTTATCAGGACTTTCATTGCCTCTAGCGCTCGGCCTTATTTTGGTTCTCCAAGGTGCTTGATCGGTGTTGGAACCATCGTAGTTCCATTCGGGGAGCTTTGAAGGGTCCGTCACTGGTCCAGGCAAAGTCCTCGCTTTGCTTTGCAAATCCATTCTAGATCCGCCGATTCATATATATATTCAGCTATGATCTTCTCGATGGTCTCACTGAGATTGAGGTTGATGAGATCATTAAGAAGCAACATGACTGTTATTGGCTGTTCCGTTTTCACATTTTCTAGACATATTCGACACCGACCCCCTTTGGAAAGGCAGATAGTGGATTTAAGGAAGGAGAAACTGGAAGGAAGGTTGGTTCCTTGTTTGCTTCTGAGCTCCCTTTTCCCCTTTCGTTTTGTTCTCCCCCAACATTATTTAAAGTCAAGGCCAGCATCCCACTTTCCCTTTTTTGAGAGAAAAAAAAGCAAACATGCGAGGTTAGTTGCACTGGACATGCGAGGTGGTGGGCGCGCACGTTCCCGGGAGTCCACGTTCGGTTGAGTTTAGTTGCACTAGCCAGATTTTTAGGGATTTAACAGAATGGTGGGGTTGAATATGACACCTACAAAAATAAAAAATAAATAAAAAATAATAATAATAATAATAAATAATAATAGTAATAGTAATAGTAATAGTAATAATAAATAAATAATATTTTTTTAAACTCGGACAAAAATGGGTGTCTACACTTGGGTTCCTCTCTCCACTCACATATCACTGTAAATATATGGCAAGAGAAACAAACATGAGGCATAATACAGAAGCGTACTCTTTTCTTGGTAGTTTGATGAGGTTGATATTAGAGGTGTATTCAGTTCGGTTCGGATCGGTTTTTCGGTTTCGTTGATCATCGTATAGTTGCAGGGAAAGGCTAGGGCAAGTTAAGGAAAGAGTTTGGGTTTTGAAACCCGTACTTTCTCTTTAACTTGTCTTGCCATTCTCTCATCTACTACTTTTCCCTTCCTTTTATGAATCACCGTATTATAGAAATGGCAAATAAGATTGTAAGCAAGGGCCATGAATTGATTGCAAATAACATAAGCAGAAGGTTTCAGAGAAAGGGAAATGACAATGTTAAAACAAAGTTTGAAGCTTCATTTTATTCGACTTTTTCTTGTTTTAACTTGTCTTTGCCCTCCCTCTGAAATACTTTCTCCATCTATTTTCCTCAATGTTTGATGAGCTTGGAGTTGCAGGAGGAGGTTCTTAGCTGCAGGGAAAGGCTTAGAGATTTCGTCAGGTAATCCTCCACATGTATGTATGTATGCATGCATGCATGCCAAATTTGTCTTATGTATATATATCTGTATGATCAAGGTTGGATCAGGCCTATGGACTATATATGGTTTACAGATGAGAGGAGGAAGAGGTACTGATATATTGAACAAGTCTCTCTTTTGTTATTATTATTTGATATAGCCGAGGTTGTAAGGAATAAATCCTGGATCTGGTACTTGAAACAAGGATTTTTGGACTTTTAGTGCAATTTCTATCCTCCTTACGAGCTGCATCTTCTTTGTTTTTCCTCCGCTTCGGAGGAATTTTTCCAGCAATCCAAGCTTGTGAAATTCTAAAAATTTCATTCTATATCCTTCAATCCATTGACAACCGTATGTGATCTGTCAAAATTAAATCAACTATTTTACGATTATATCTTTTTACTCTACCAACTTACAAGATCCTACACCTAACGACATCCTAAATAGTCCTAGTATCTGAACTTTCATATTATTTCTATTTTACTCACCGTACTTTTAAAATTTTCAATTTTCACAATCAACTTTATAGATTGAGTTTTTGGTCACTCTGTCGTTAAACTTCTCACGCTGTTATGACGTGGCTTAGAGAAATAATTTTTTAATCGTTAAAAGCCACGGATGATATGACAGGTCAGAAAAAAATAAAAGGTAAATTGCGAATTTGATAACTGAACTTTCATATAACTACTATTTTACTCACTCAACTTTATAGATTGATTTTTTTGGTCACTCTGTTGTTAAACTTTTCATCGCCAACGATCGTCCACCCCTGCCCATCATTGATCTCCATCGTTGTTGGAAGATGACCGTCACCGCTAGTACCGGTGTGAGCGTCAAGCCACGCGACTAAAACCCTAGTGGCCGATC